GTTTCCTTTAGTGAGGTAATCGTGTACGGGGGTCATCCAAAAATCGTTGTCCCCGATGGTGAACACTTCTAAGGTTGAGGATGGCTTCTGTGTGCTTGGTCTAGGAAGGATTTCTTGTATTGCCGACTTATTCCATCCTTTCCTCTTCGTGCTTGCCATCTTAGATAGGATATCCGCGCGAGCATTATGCTCGCGGGGAACATGCTGCACGTCCATAAATTTAAATTCCTTTTTTCTCTCTTGGACCAGGACACAATATTCGGCGAGTTGGTTGTTTTTGATCTGATATTCGCCTCAGACTTGATAGGCGACCAATTGAGAGTCGGTGAAGATCTGTACTTCCTCGGCTACCAGATGTTCCGCCAGTCATAAGCCTGCCAGGAATGCCTCGTATTCAGTCTGATTATTGGAGGTCGTAAAAGATAATGCGAGGGAGACCTCAATTAGGGCCCATTATTTGTTTTCCAATATGATACCAGTGTTGCTTCCTATTGAACTAGAGGCGCCATTGACGAAGATCGTCCAGCGGCGTGACCCATCGGGGTTTGCGGGCGAAGTCATTTAAGCCATGAAGTCGGACATGGATTGAGCTTTAAGGGCTTTCTTTCTCTCGTATTGGATATCAAATTTAGAGGGCTCTAAAAACCATTTCAACATTTTGTCGGCCATGTCTGGTCTTCTGAGCAGCTGCTTTATTAGCTGATTCGTTCAGATGACTATGGTGTGGGCCAAGAAGTAGTGTTTGAGCCTCCTCGACGCTTTTATGAGGGCTAGAGATTATTTTTTTATTTGTTGATATCTCACCTCTGGGCCTTGAAGGGCCTTGCTCATGAAATAAATTGTTCTCTGTCCCTTTAGAGTTTCTCTAATCAGTGTCGTGCTTATCGCCTCGGAGGCGACAACCAAATAGAGGTAGAGGACCTCATCTTTCTAGGGTCCAGAAAGGATGAGCGACTGTGATAGCGCTCATTTTAAGTGAATGAGGGCTCGCTAGCATTTGATCGTCCATTCGAAGGCAGCTTCCTTGCGAAGGAGTTTGAACAGGGGAAGCGCGTGTTAGGCAGATTTTGCCATGAATCTAGAGAGATAAGTGAGCATGCCGTTTAGGATTTTGATGGAATTTTTCGATGTGGGCATCGGAAATTCAGAAAAGGAACTACATTTGTCTAGGTTTTCCTCAATGCCCCGTTCTGTTGGATAGAATCGTAAGAACTTGCCTTCCCGTACTCCAAAGGTACATATTTCTGGGTTGAATTGCATCCGACACTTTAGAGCCTGCTCGAACACTTTCTTTAAATGGAGGGCATGATTGAGCTCTTCCATGGACTTAACGATCATGTCTTCCATATAGACTTTAAGCATGTCACCTATCTCTTTGCGAAAAACTTTGTTCATCATGCACTGATATGTAGCGCCCGCATTTTTTAGGCTGAAGGGAATTACATTGTAGTAATAGTTGCTCGATTTGGTCATGAAAGTGGTGTACTCTTTGTCTGTTTTAGCCAATAAGATCTGGTTATAACTAGAGTATGGATCCATAAATGATAACAATTTAAAACCAGCCGAGTTGTGGACTAGTTTGTTAATATTGGGTAGGGGATAAGCATCTTTTGGGGAAGCCCGATTGAGATCAGTATAATCAATACACATGCGCCACTTTCCATTAGATTTTTTCACAAGAACTACATTTGAAAGCCAGGTTATATACTAGGCTTCAGAAATAAAATGTGCTTCTAGGAGGTCTTTTACAGCTAGTTCTGTAGCCTCTACTTTCTCGGAGGATTGTTTTCTTCTACGCTGGGAAACTTCCTTAAGAGCACGATCCTTCGGAGGACTCTTTCCCTTCTTTATTTGCTCGGCACGATCCTCCTTGGAGAAGCGGCCGTCGAGGTTGATGGTGTCTACCCTTGACAGCGGCTTGACTTCCTCCGAGCTGGAGGGCAGTGCGGCTTCGGTGGTGGTTCAAGGTTGAACATTGATGGAACTGAGGTCCCTGGCTAAAGCTTCAAAACACCTTCTTGCTGCTTGGATGTCCCCATGGAGAGTGGCGACCAAACCTTCAGCGATGTAGTACTTCATTTTGAGATGCACGGTGGAGGGAACCGCAGTGAGTTCAGCGAGAGTGAGTCTCCTGAAGATGCACTAGTAGAGAGACGCGCAATCTACTACCATGAATTGGGTCTTGATGGCTCTGGCTGTTACCACTCTCCTGAAGGGGACGATCAATTCGACATATCCCTAGGGTTTCATGCTGGCTCCAATAAAGTCCTGGAGGTCTGATCCTATGTACGGTGTCATATGGCTTTCATTCAGATACAAGGTGGTAAACAGATGGGTGTACATGATGTCCACCATGATCCCTTGATCAACCAGTATACATCGCACGTCGAAATTCGCCACGCAAGCTCTCACGAGTAGTGGGATGGTCGAATTCAGGGCTTCGCCCGACAGTTCCTCCCTGTAGAAAGTGAGGGGATGGGAGCCTCCTCAGAATTTGTCCAACGTGGCGTCCATGTTCTAGTTATCTTCGATAAGTTGGTCGAACATTCTTTTTACCGGTCCAACTTTGCCTGTTAAATCCCTCGTGAAACAACCGGCTGAAAATCATCAAACAATGAAGTCACCATTGAACGTATTTTATCCCACATGAAGGGAAAGGTAAACATGGAGAAAAACTAAAAAGTGAGAAGTCACGATCTTACGACCGATATATCGGGTAAGGGAGTCTGTTATGCGAGGGAAAGGTATTAGCATCCACACGCCCGTAGTACTCTACGGTATCCACTCATGTTATCTATCTTATGGGTGTGTCTAAACTATGCTTACTATTTACTACTGAAGAAGAATGCATGAAAAAGGAATGAGAAAAGAATGTAGAGAAAATAAAGTTGTACTCGCTTAGGCCCTACCCCAATGCCTACGTATCCTTTTTGAGGAATCAGAGTTACCGTAGCTCAGCTGTTAGGTTTTTGTTTGTTTTGTGTTTTTTATGAATAATGTTAATTCCTCCTTCTTCCGAAGCTCGACCTTCAGAGACTCACTCCTTGGCACAGAAGTAAATTAATCATGTCCTCACCTGAAAAGGTTTTGAGAAAAGGTGCTTGGATGCATAAAAAGGTTTGAGTTGGTTTGTATTTTTTGTTACCTTGAAAAAGGGTTTAAGTATGATTTGAGTGTTTTTGATTTGCTAAGAAAGGTTTTAGTTTTAGATGCATATGCAAAAGGGGAAGAAAAGAGTTTAAGGGAGACTAGCTTATTTCTAACCTAATGTTATCATACAATGGTAGTCCAAAGGTTTGGATTTGACAAAAGGGAAACGTCTACCTAATGTTAGCATGCATGTTTTGCAACTTAAGGTCTAAGTTGCATCCGAAAGGAGGAAGCACATCCTAAGGGAACATGGTATATACAAGGATAAAACAAGCAAGCTCGGAAGAGCACACACATAAAAGTGTAAGGAACATAAAAAAATGCTTTAGTCAAGAGGAGCGTATCACCCGAGACAAACAAGCAGGAGTGAGATGAAAAAACAAAATGTGATGTCCAAAGCGACTGAACACCTAACCAAAATATAAGAGATCAAGGTAGGCGACATAAGGCAATGCGAACAATCACGGAGTATCAGCATCGGCTAATGCAAACTCTTAACAAAGCGTGGGGGTTCAATTGTGAAACCCTTCCCCACTTGACGACTCTATACACAAGAGAAGGCACAACTCTGAAGCACCGTGGTGCGTCATGAGCTAAGGATTACATAAACGAAATTGCACGGGTTAATTGTGAACCCTCCCCGCTCGCCTCCATTTGAAGACTTCAATAAGGGATGGGAGAATAATGCAGGCACAAATGTAAACACACCTGCAGAATACATACACAAAGGTATGGTTTTAAACAAACCACACACAAGTATCACACAATAGCAAACAATGCGGAATTTCCTTAAACGGGTCTTTAAATAAACCAGAGGGGTTCCTGACATGATCATCAACAGAGACCCCCTTCATACATCTATACCCTACTTCTCATAGCATCAAAAAGCAGTAAAGCCCTAATTCTCATGATCTCTAGTAAAGAAATAAAGTGCAAAGAAATATACAAGTAGTAGCGGCGACTACCACAAGGAAGCAAATCGTCGAAAGCAGACGAAGGAAATGGAGAATCAGGGAGTACGCATCGAGAAAGCTTCACCAAGAACAAACAAAGTCATGAATAATATCCAACTAAGATAAAAGCAAACGTGTCTTGTGAATGCAATGCGCAATCAGAAGTTCCTGCACAAAGCATCATAAAATATCACATGTATCAGGACAACATATAATATGATATGAATTTCTCAGGACGATGAAAAATAAGGTGTGTCGCATCGGAAGCGAGCATAAGCTGTATGCTTCGATCACATAAAAACCTATTATGTTACATGATCGAAAACACCAAAGTGTACCCTGAACAATGAACAAACGCGTAAAAAATAACGAGGCACAACGGTATGAAAATATGAATAAAATACTAAAAGAAAATGTATTTTTTATTAATTTTTTATGTGCAGAAAATTATATCGAAAACTAAAGAATTTATTCCAAAAATCAACTAAAGTTTTAACGAGTTTTATTGATTTTATAATTTTTGTCCCAAAAAAATAGAAAAAATTAAGGGAAAGTCTTAAATCTAACAAAGAAATAGAGGTATCAGAGGGTGTCTTCAATGTGGTGCAGAAACAATATGAGGTATTTAAGCCCAAGCAGCAGGAGTCCATGAGATTTTTGGTTTAATGGTGTTCAGTATGTCAAAAATGTTTAATGGGATTAGAAAAAAATACCTCGGTCCATATCTAGCTCTTGTTTAAGCATTTGTTCAAAAACACAAAACAAGATTTAGAGTGATCAATCCAGCCTAGGAAGAGTTCACTCCAACATCACCATCAAACATTTATTCCTTATTTTTTTGACTATAATTCAATAAAACAAAATGTATTGAGCTAGAGGTGCAGAACGCAACGTTTCATGCTGTTAGGGTTAAAAGCGTGTGACGTTACAACTTCTAAAAAAGGCTTGATCTTCTTCTCTCTTTCATCACAAACGACATTGCATCCACCATCTCTGTTCGACCTTCGCCCCTCAGCCTCCTATTCGTCTGCCATGGCCCACCGTTCCCTTATCTATCTTAATCCAAACCCTAACCTATTTCCTTTCAATTTCCTCTAATCTTCCTATATCTACCGCAAAACAGAGAAACCCTAGAAATCTCTAGAGCGTGATTAAATGATGATTATGCTTGGGGAAGAAGCTTAACAGGCCCTAAGCTACATCTTGATGTCAGAAAATCATGAGAATACGAAGCATCGAAGAAGATTCGGTACTTACCTTCAACGTTTTTGGATATGAGAAATAACGAATATCAGAGGAGAGACTTTGGCACTAATTACAGGTATAAATCCTTCCTACTTTTCTTTATCTGACACTGCCTCCTTGACTGCGTTTTTGTGTGATTGAGAGTTGCGTCAACACGATGCGAATATTGGCGTGTAAGAAGTATAGAACTTGTTGTTGTTGATGCAGTGGAAGAGTGAAGCGATTGTAGATTGTTGAAGCTTTGAGAGATGATGATGCAGAATTCTCGATGAAGATGGTGATGATTGAAGGTTGGAGATGAGAGTTGCAGGGAAGATGAAGGTCGATGATGAATGATGAAGCGTGAATGCAGCGAGAATGGTGGAGTGAGGTTGAAGATGATGATTTCCGAAGTAGTGAAGTTGCTGCCAAACCTTGAGGATACAGAGAGAGTGCAGACAACTCAGACAGAAGAGAGTAAATATTTTTCTGGTGATTTATAAAATGATCGTGAATGGATGAAGATTAAAGAGAAAATGGCTTATAGTTTGTTGGAGTTTGTTACCGAAAAGTTAATCCCAACCCTTGGATTTGACTTTTTGTTACATGATTGAATGGTGAGGATGGAGTCAACTATGAGGTTTTTTGTTCTGTTAGCATTTAACTTCTGTTATAGTTAGTGAAGTTTAACTGAAACAATTAGTTATGGTGATGAGATGGAATCGGTTATTGGTTATTGTTAGTTGAAACAGAGGTTAGTTACACTTTGTTAGAAGTTAAGTTTGTTCAGAGTTTTAGGTTAGTTATGAAATGGTATATTCAATTAGAGTTTGTTTCTGTTAATTCTGTTAGTAGTTTGGATCTTTTATTGGCTCTTTGTTATTCAGGAAGGTTCATAGGGCCTTTATTTTGTGTTAATACTAATCTACTATTTTTAACTTGATGTGGTGAAATTGTCAGTTGTTTTGGAGATTCAGTTTTCTAGTAGTGAACTGATTTTCACAATCGGTTTTTGTATGCTTTGTGGACTGGTTTGCTGTTAGTCATTGTTTTTTATAGTGAAAAAGTTGGTTGAATCAATTAGGTAGTTTTTTGGATGAAATTCGGTTAGATGGGTTATGGACAGTTGGCATTCGGTTAGGGGTAGTTAGAGGAAGTTATGAATATGTTATTTTCTGTTATGCCGAGCTGGATTTCTAATTTTACCAGTGAATTGGTTTTGGGAATTTTCGTAGGGACTTGTTACAACAGGGCTACAAGGAGGTTATCTCACGGTTATTTGTGTGAGAAGGGCTGAAGGAAGTGTGCAAGAAAGGTTTAGATTGAAACAAGGATTGGTGTGTACTCTTGGCATGCAAATGGAACAAGTTTTGTATAAGTTCAAAACTGTTTTTGAATGTACTTTGAATTAGCTTTTGGACTATTTTGGAATGAGATGAAACAAGGCATTAATTTTTCTTAGGATGCCATAGAAATTTGAACTTTTAGTAATGTTTCTTTGAAATGCTGGATTTTGGATGTAATGACAATGTTGAATGATTTTTATGTGAAGAAATTGGAACTTGAATAGAACTTGATCATGAATGTATCATGGTGATGATGGTTTTGAATGATTTATGATGATTTTGAACACGATCTTGAATATTTGAAATTTTGATTTGAACCTTGATTTCTTGAATTATGCCTTGCAACTTGAAAATTAGTCTTAGGATGCAATTGAAAGTTTGAATGACCTTGTATGCCTTGAATGCAATATTAATTTGGCAATTCCAAATCTTCAATCTCCTATCCGAAATCAAATCTTCTTCAATTAGAACTAAGAGCTCCCAATGCTTCTCTTTATTTGTAACTTGAATGAAAAACATGACACCAAACCCTTTTTTTTTTGGATAATTCACGAGATAAACTCAAAGATGACTAAAGAAAGACTTTCATTTGAAATTCAAAGTCTTGCTCATGAATGAAAATGGTGTGCTTTATTCTTCAAAGTGACTTGAATTCCAAGGAATCCACGTGGATGGACTTTCCAAACTTAATACGTTTTCCTCTTAAAATATTGGTCCAATTTGACAAATTCAAACCACTTGAACGAATACTTTCACCATAATGAATCCACACCAGTTCAATTATCTCAATCTCCATCAAACTTGTATAATAAGAAATGAGAGAACCAATAATGCCTTAATCTCAGTGAATTCATAACATCATCCTTGTATCACGTCTTGACTTGATGATCAACAAAACTTTAGTGCTTTGAATCCTTAAGAACGAATGATAAAGCTTAAAGCATATAATAACTCCTGCATATCTAATGATTAAAGAGGGACCACAAGAATCAGACTTTATTGAATATATACCTCAAAACAATGTGAAACACTAATATCGTACCACCACTGGACATTGAACCTCAAACGCTTCATTGAATGAAATGTATGTCATATTAGTGACCTAATGGAGGTTATGTATATGATGATACATAGGTTAAATGATCCTTGTTAAAGGGTAGGACAAATTTGGGGTATTACAGTTGCCCCTATTTAATCGTCATAAACTTGAAAGTACGATTTGCGCGTGCCTTTTGGAAGTTCGAGGTAGAAGATGATTAAATATCAATGTCAAAAATTTGTTCTGAGAGAAAGCGTGAGTGTTTATTTGTTTTTGTGATATCTGTCGGGGAGTGAATTTTATGTTTTCTTGGGAAGACGGAGATTGGACTTATAACATGTCATGATGCCAATACATGACAAGGATGGACTCGTAACATGGTGTGATGCCAATACAAGACAAAGGTTAGTACGATAATACATCGGATAAGATCTACGGGTGACCTACAATCCTAAGATGAAACATAAGAGCGATCTATCAGAGAACTGGGCCTACGGGAAACCTTAGAATTCTAAAACACGATCTATAAGGAGAACCTAACCTACAGGTGATCTCAGGTTCTAAGATGATCTATAGGAAGAACCTAGCCAATGGGCGATCTCATGTTCTACGATGATCTATTGGAAGAACCTAGAAAATGGGTGATCTCAAGTTATAAGATGATCTATTGAAAGAACCTAGCCAATGGGTGATCTCAAGTTCTAAGATGATCTACTAGAAGAACTTGTGAAATCAAACTTTCCAAATGTTTTGATGAAGACAAGCTAGCATGCAAAAATGAATGGATCAAGATAGAAGATTTATCTCAAGCAAAGATTCATTGATCAAGATCAACTTTTCAAGACTTATGGCTTAAGGTATATGAAATTTTTGATCTTATGCTCTTAGTGCTCAAAACTTATTTTTAATCATGCATTTACTTTATTAAAATAATATTTTGAGTATATAATATGTATGATTGAAGAAGGATGTTTTAAATTGCTTAAAATCTTTGAAAATAATGATTTTTCAATTTTTGTACACAAGCAATCGATTGTCATCAAACGACAATCGGTTGCATCCAAAAAACATTTGCTTCTATTTGACATACAATCGATTGTCATCTAGCAGCAATCGATTGTCATGTGTTTTATTTTCAAATTTTTTGAACGTTGGCCTATGAGCAATCGATTGCTCCTCAATGAAAATCGGTTGTCATAGTTATATTTTCCAAAATTTTTAAACGTTACTGTGCTGCAACCGATTGTTGCTTTAGTGCAACCGGTTGTTGTACTTCATATTTTGAAAATTTTTATTTTTCCAGCAAGTTTTAGTAACACCTTTTCATGGCAATCTTTGTATCTTTTCAAATACATTCTTTTAGTAAAAATGGCTTAAACATTGCTATGTTTCATTGAAGAGGTATTACTACACTATAAATGATTTTTCATTTAGAATTTTGAAAATCATCAAAAAATCAAAAACAAAAATCAACAACAATCACTAACAACTTTCTATTCTTTTGATCATACTCTTTATACTCAAGATTTTTGTTCATCATTTTCATATGCATACTGAAAATTGTTCTTGAGCACTTAGAAGAGTATTCCATGTTAAATTTCATATTGAATAGAAAAGATCAATCAAGTGATTGACATTGCTCTTTCATATTTCAAACTATTATACAAATCAAACAAACTATTGTATACTTGTTTTCAGGATTGTTGGAAACAAGAAAGACACTTAGGGAGGATTGTTCTCTTTGTGGTCTTAGTGAAAATCCAAGAGGATTGTTCTTGGTCCAAGAGGATTTTTCTTGGTTGTTAGGTAGTCTTTGTACAAATTACCAACTATAAGGAAATCTCTTTCATGTTGAAAGGGTACTGGAGTACTCTCGGACTGTGAGGGGAACCAAGATATATTTGTGCTCTTTACTTTCCACATTTACTGCTTTCATCACTTATCAGAAAACGAAAGAAAAGAAACTCGTGCAAAAATATTCATACAATTCAGAAAAAGTTTTAAAGAACCTAATTCACCCCCCCTCTTAGGCGCATCTGAAATTACAATTGGCATCAGAGCAGGTTATAGGTAACTTGTTCTTACTAGATCCAGAATGGCTTCCGCAAACAACAATTCTGTGTTCATAAACGATGGCAGTAGCAACAAGCCTCCTCTATTCTGTGGTGAATATTTTGATTTCTGGAAGATCCGTATGAAGGCTCATCTAGAAGCACAAGGAGAAGAAATATGGGATGCTGTCCAAAATGGCCCTTTTGTTTCGGTAACTGTAGTAAACAACGTTGGTTCATCAAAGCCTAAAACTGCATGGGATGATGATGATAAGAAAAAGGTTCTGTATGACAAAAAGGCAATAAACCTCCTTCAAAGCGCACTTAGTATGGATGAATTCTTCCGTGTCTCAGCATGCACAACGACAAAAGAAATTTGGGATACACTGGTTGAAACACATGAAGGAACAACTGAAGTTAAGAGATCAAGACTTAATA